TTTAAATAAACATCATTATTATCCTTATTACTTTTCCTTTCTCCTACTCTTTAGCTAAGGGCATGTTTAGAGAACTTGATTCTCCCTAGAGTATGTTTTAATAATGGGAAGACAGAAATAAGGAGACTTATGTTTGGATTGAGGTAGGTACATAATGTTCTGGTGTTTAATGTAAGTAACAAGTCCTAGTTTTATTAATCACTCTATATCTCTTTTTTTCCTTTTACATCCAGTTGATTTACATTTTTTACTGTGGCACATAGTAGTACTAAAAAAATGCTTACAATTTTTTTCTACATATTCTAAATTGCTTCTCACTTTAGACCAGAATATTTAGAGATAACAAATCTGGAAATGAACCATTATATTTATGTACTAAAGATAAAGGTGATGGCAAGAATGATTTTCAATATACTCTATGTTTTACTTTAAATAGCATTGCACAGAACTTTTCAAAGGCATTCATTTTCTATTTTTGTAAAATCCTTAAAATATCACCAAAGGTCATGTTTAGAACTTGAATTACTAAGCTATTCCTTTGGGAGTACAATTTAATATTTGTACTTTGATACATTGACGTTTCTAATATTGCCTTCATAAGATAGTTTTTCTTTTACTTTCTTTAAAACTCAGGTATCAGGAAATAGGATTTAATAGATGAAATATATTTAAAATATTGATTTTAATTTATATCTATTTTCTAGAGAAAAGGTAGATTATCACATTCATCTTTTATTTCTAATTCTTATCTTGGTGTACCTGGTTTATAATAGAACCTGAATAAACATTTTGAATTGAGGATAATACTTGGACCAGTATCTTTTTAGGAAAGTTATATAAATGCATCATAATGGAGCATGCAGGATTGCTAGCTCATTTTATTGCAGAATTCTTTCCATACTTGATATCAGGGTCAGTCCTTAACTGCAAGAAGATGAGTTGGCTATGGAATGATCATCCAGCAATCATCTCTCCATTATGCTAGCCAGAATGCTTTTCAGAACTAAAGTTGTACCATTCAAGAAATGTATATTTGCTGATGAGATTTTAAAGAAAGCCATGCTTTGTGTCACCCTGGCCCAGTGCTTCAATCATATCCAGAAGTTCTTCTTCATTATGGGCCTATTTTCCCCCAAGCATCACTTTCCCTCTTGTGATTTATTTAAAGATATATTTTTAGCTCCTTAATCTCCTTGTTTTATCAGCTTCTTGTCTTGAATGTTGAATAGGATGTTTGCTTTTGGGGAGGAAGATGAGGATGAGGTTTGATTTGTATCCCCTTTCAGCTGGTCCTTTAATTTCTAGCACAGTCTCTCATCTTCTCAAAATCCATCACCCACTCACTCACTCACTCATATTGTTCATTTACTCCACATGTATATTGTCCCTCTGTAAAATTTCAAGTGGCATATTGGACATTTGGATAGAGAGGTGAATTACTGTGCCTAGCATGGTATCTGCTATAGTCACTCCCCTTAAGAAGCAGTAGTAAAATGTCCCCTCAAGAGCCGTGCTCGGGTCCCCCTCTGTTTTGCAGCTATAACAGTTAGCTCTAATTCTGTGCTAAATTCCTGCCCTTTCATATAACTCACTTGGGCACCACATTGTTATATTAGTCATGCTAGCTGCTATAACAAGTAAGCCTTCCAATTTTAGTAGCTTAGAACCCTATACTTTTCTTTTTCCATCATATTGAACAGTGCATTGTGGTTCCAAATAAGTGGGCTCTGCAACACATGGTCATTTAAGTATCCAGGCTGAAGGAAGCTCAGCCATCTTCCAAGATTACCTTGCATGTCAGCATCCAGATTTGAGAAGATAAAAGAGCATGAAGGATGGCATGCAAGAGATTTTTATGGGCCAGAGCCTGAATGTCACATATTGCCACCCTTTCTTTCATTATCTGAACTCATTCCCATGGCCACCCGTTCTCAGTAGAAAGCAGAGAAATGCAAGTACTGGTGTTCCAAAAAAATGCTTGGCTAAGCTGGGTTGAAGGATGATGATGAATTTCCCATTTGCTTAAGAGAGTGTGCCTTGTATAACTCTGGGTTTTTGTTTGGATGTTTGTTTGCTGGTATAGATAGAATGACTTGTCTTCCTTTAGTAATTGATTATGTTTCAGAAGTCATTTGGGAATTGAAATGAAGGGAAACATTTTATTTTTTCAAAACAATGAATATACTTAAAAGAGTAGAAAAACCAGATATGTGAAGGTTTTCCTGTTAGCCTGCTAGGAATGCATTCTATTAGAAGATACTGCTCTTCTCTTTCATGGTATTGCTCTTCCCACCTGGCAAACTAGTTTTGTGAAATCCCCCTGAGCTGCTTACCCAGGCACAGCTAGGAGTTGCACATTTAGTGTCCTACTAGAACGTGAACATGCCTATGTTTTATCCATTCATCCATTCACTCATCCAAATACTTAAAATAGAGAGAGGGAAGGGAAGGGAAGTGGAAGATAAAGGAATGATTAAAATTCACCGTGATAGAATTACATAGTAAATAGCACAAGGGTATAGGGAAATGACATTTTGCTTTTCCTTGGGATGAGGGAGAGGTGAAAATGCTTCTTTTAGAGGGCGTTTAGTCTGAGTCTCTTTTATTACTCATGGATACTCTCCTTTTTCCGGGGAATGAGCTTTTCAAGGAAAAGAACCCTGTTTTGATCATCTCTGACTCTACCATCCATTATAGTGCCAGGCTTATACTAGGCACTCAGTATGTTGAAATGACTGAATGAAGATATAATTGAATACATTTATAAACTTTATTTACTCCACACATTTCCATACATTATCTCATTCAGTACTAAATAAAGCTTTATGATAAGATAGATACTCTCATTTCTGGTGTATAGATATAAACAGTAAACCCAAATTCAGAAAAATTTGCTGTTTGACCAGTGTCTCATCGTGTGTTCACAGAATAGATCCTAGCTGTTCCTTTGTACATTTTTTGGTACTTGGAAACAAACATTAAGTATCAAAGTAGTGATTTGAAATTTGTTGCATGTGTTTTAGGGATGAAACGTTGAACCACTTGAATTTCTTTGAGTTATGAAGGATGTTCATTTATATTGAGTCAAAAAAGAATGTTGTTTTTAACAGAAACAAAGAGATGATTCATCCACCATGTTTTACAGTGCATTATGTTCTACTTTGTACCCAGTAGGAGCTCTATAAATACTTCTTAACTAATTGATAGTGACTTAAAATGTATAAAATATTTCAACTAAATTGGACAAGCTTCCTGTTACAGGCTGTCATAAGTTTTTGCCTTTGTAGCTATTGTGTTGCAGGGGACAAAATTTGCCTGTGGTATATTCTTTTTTTTTGTTGAGTGGGAGTCTCACTCTAACTCAAGGAATTTTTTTTAACACACTGGCTTTTTTTTTTTTGGTTGTTGAGTCCTCATTTTTGCAGCATTCACTTCCTTAGAGTCTGCCCAAGGACACTGTGTATCAAGGCTGAGACTATCTGTATGTTCTTACTATGGCAAGTTGAGACATTTTGCCATAGAGCTGTATTGGTGTCTTTTGATGCTCTAAATCTCACACTTTAGATTGAAGTTTATGACAGACATTCATTGCTTCCATCTCTGACTTATTCTTATTTTGTACCACAAAAGTTTCAATGTTCTCTACAGCAATATTATGACCGATTTAATACATCAGTGTCCAACGTATTCAAGTTGGAGCTGATTAAGTATGAAGGCATTGCTTATAGAAGTTTAAAATTATGCATTTCCACATGGATAGTCTGCTTCACTTTAAACTCCCATTTCTGAAACCAGATTCATTTGTGCCTTATATTTCTCCCTCCTCCCCCAGTCCCTGCCCCTCAGCTATTGCCAGCTGTCACCCATCTCATTTACTGGCAGGCGCCAAACCACAAAGACATCGTGACTACTTACTACTTTACTTTATACCTCACTCATCTAATTCATGTTCGTGCTGTGTTGCATTGACCTCTAAAATATCTCTGAAACATGGGATGTGAGACCATGTTTTAAAGCCAGGTGCTGAGTGCATTTTCTAATCTCCTTATAGCTCTAAAATTATGGGAAATTTGCTGAGAGCCCTGTAAGAGTTTACTGGAAAATCAGCAAGAGTACTTGGGTTAAAAAATAAATAAAATTTTAAAGAGATTTTAATGTTAAAAGACTTTTCTCTTCAATATACTTGAGTAAGAATTTATTTCATCACCTCTGGAAACACTTGATTTTTCTGAAACTCTGTAACTAGGAGACAGAATAGACAGTGAGAATTTTTCAGAGCGTGTGGCATATGAAAGGTGGTTGGTAAATGCATAATGAATGACGGGATGGACAGATGATTAAAAATAGAATGGTAATGGTAAAAGGATCCTGAACTCTGTCTCTGTGTTCTCTTTTGCTTAACAGGAATATGTTTTTCATTTAGTTTCATTTTTCTAAGAGCAAGATAAATGCCAAATGTAAGAAAGACATAGCCACCTTTCATATTAATCATTACTGGAGAAACACCATTCATGCCTCAGTGTATTACCAATGGCAGTGTAATCTGTAGGAAATTCAAGAGAGTGCTTTAGGAAGTGCTTTAATTGAAGACTCAGTGGTGTCAAGTATGTGTTTAAAAAGAAAGAAATGGGCATCAGGGGTGGTTCAACTTCAGGCTGATATTTTCGTAATAATAGTAATGCCCCAGGATTCAAGAAATGTTCTTAAAACTTTTTTTCTTCACTGATAGTCGTATTGCTAATATATCATCAGCAAAATCATGTTAACCACACTTAATAAAAGTGACATAATAATATTTCTCCTGAACTTTTCCCTTCAACCATACAGTAATAGAAAAACAAAGTATTAGGTTGTTAAGCTTTAAGTATTAAGCCATGAAAGACAATGAGTTTTTCTTGTTAATGATTCCAGCAGCTTATTTTTGCAACTTAATTTTGTTCTACCTCACACTGAAGAAGTGAAAGACTTAGAGCTACTTATTTTCTGTTTCTGTTTTGTAGGGGAAGATGGTGAAAGGAATGGGAGGTGCTATGGATTTAGTATCCAGTGCTAAAACCAAAGTGGTGGTCACCATGGAGCATTCTGCAAAGGTAAGGTGTCCTCTGCACCCCAAATGCTGCTTTTGGAAATTTACAATACACAGAAATCTAGTACATCAGGTCACCTGACTAGAGTTTTTATTGTTTTCTCTGGCTCATTCAAGGTGATAGCATTTATATTTTACAGAGAAAGATGACAAATAAAGGCAGTTATTTGGCTCAATGGTTGTTTAGCTTTGAGTGAAATCAAACATCAGGGTTTTCTTTGAATATTGCCCTGCATACATATTAAAAGTAAAAGCTTTAAAAGCAGTGAAAATATTTCAGGGCAGATCTATTGATTCAGGTTTTAGGATGATTATAGTAGTTGCTATCTGTGTACTAAATGAAAAGTCCTACAGAAGAATATGGGTTTTAAAAACAGTTATTTTCAAATGGACAATGTGGTCTTTCATTGAAGTTGTGAGGCATCATTTCCAGAAGTTGTTAGAAAATGGTGGACTTGGTGATAGCAAGTATCCTTATTCTGAAAACTTATACTTTTATTTTGATAAATCATCAGATATTTGAGTGCCTGCTATATGTTAAGCAGTACTAGGATTTGACAATGATGAAAACTGAACAAAAATCACTGATTTCACAGAGCTTACATTCAATTCTCTTCCTCTTCCTTCATCCTGCAATAATAATAGCTACCATTTCTAAGCCTTTACTGCGTGCCAGCAGTATGTAAGCTATCTCTGTGTGTGTGTATAAGTCTATGGACTTGATGTGGATATTCTTAATATGTCCAGAAACAGAGCTTCCAAGAAGTTAAGTAACTTGCCTGAAGTCATGTGACTAGTAGAACTAAGATTAGACTTAAGTATCTCTGACTCCAAAGCCCAATCATCTCATCATGGAGCTATCAGTATAAATTTTTTCCTTGTTCCTGGCTCAGTGTCTTTGAACCAACTGGGCTTAATCACTTTCCTGATATTGAATGGTACCTTCTTCATCCTCTGTGCATTCTGTTCATTCTCCTTTATCATTACTAGTTTTAAAACAAAGTCTACCCATTCTAACTTTGAGACCTGCTAATCTGAGTGAAAGTGGTAGTTCTCTTGACCTGTTTTTATTTAATGATGCAGCATTATGTAAGAGCATGGACCTAGAAGGTTTGCACCTCACCTGCTTCCCTTGGGGGAATTCTGTCACAGAGAGATGGATGCCACGAAATGATTTTGTTGTGAAAACAGCAATAAATATAAATTATCATAAATTGTTTAGTAAACAGTGGGAAGTGAGCAGTGGTGCATAAATATAGAACAATAGAAATGGAACCAACACAGGTGAATTCTGAGAATGCCTTGCAAAAAGCATCTAAAATACTTAGTTTCAGAGGCAAGAGGATGCCAAGAATGCAAATAAAATCCAAATCTTTTCTGGAACATAATGTCTATTTGGAGAAAACTCTTTCTGACTTTACTTTTGTTGTTACTTTAATGTTGGCGCACAGGCACTGGAGTCCGATTTATTTTAGCTTATTTTTGTGCATTCGTTTTCAAAACATTAGGCCTACATTTAGAAAATTTTCTCTCTCTTTTTTTTCTGAAGTCTTTTTGTTCTCCTCAGCTGGAACTTCTGATAGAGGACAATAAATGGTGCCACAAACTTCAGACTGGAAATTCCTTATTTTGAATTTTCCACAGAAGTAAAATCATATTTTTACCTTTTTTTTTTTTTCCTCTCATTGTGGAAATTAGCATTGAGTTTTAAACCAGTATTGGCGTTTGGTATTTTTCCATAGATTATTTTCATTTGAACAAATCAACAAAAAATATACTTGTGATTAAAATAATCGTAATGATTTATTCACACTTAATAGTTAGATAAGCTTTGAAAACTAACCAAGAGTTTCTCTTCTCACCACCCTCATATTTTACCTGTGGCTCTGAGATGTGTGGTTCCTTCTCTGCATTGTTCCCTGGACTCATAGCTACTGACCCGGCTCAAGGGAACATGGAAACTCTGCCACTTCTTTCATGCATCTGGGTAGGGTGGGCAGAGGCTGGAAAGGAAGTAGGGAAAAGAAGATTTTCACTCTTGGTAACCTCTCCAGTTGATCTATTCCTTTAGACATGCCAGGTAACTTTAACTGCCATATGATTAAGCGAAAAGCCTGGGGGACTAATCCCTAGAATTGTGTAAGACATGGAAGTGAAAAGTTTGCAAAGAAAAATTAACACCTGAGAAAAGACATATACTCTTGTATTCTCGTGCTGCTTTTTTTTTCTTTTCTGAGAATGGGTGGATATGCCAACTAGTTTTCAGATGGAGCCTTCTTTTTACTCTTTTTCCTCATCTATAGGGTTACAAATGCAAAGTGTTTACAAATATCGCATTGCCTGACCTTTGAAAGCATGCCTTCTTGCTGTTCTTTTGATCAGATAAAGGAAACTCTTGCAACCAGCCATTGACTTTAACTCAGGCACCAGCAGCTACTGGAGTCTGAGACCTGACTGCCTGTTGGTGCTGCTGTGAGGTAACTGCTGCCTTCAGACTACCTCTGTGACATACAGCAGCCACAGGTATAAGACTGGCATGATAACTAGATTTTCACTTAGGCTTAGACATCAGGGTTCCAGGTAACATGGTGAACTAGGCAGGTTTTTTGGTGTCCGGCCACCTTCCTTATTTAACTTCTTTTTATTTATTGGCATGTCCTATCTTCTGCCCTGTAAAAATGGGAAGAAAAGGAAGAACCATCTGAGACCTTATGAAATGGAGGTGCTGGTATTGCACATGCTTGGCATTGTGCATGCTTAATCTCATTATCTTCTCAGTAACTTTCTGAAGTCAGATCAGGACATTAGGCAGCTAAGAACCTTGTCCAGAGGAAAGTGGCAGAGCTGGAGTTTGCTTCTGTGTAATCCAGCCTGTGCTCATACTACACCATGCCACATCCTCACAAAGCTGCCTCTGCAACAGTACCCTACCCATATCCACCTTTTCAGGAAGCTTTAGGTTTTAGAATTACCTCTTTTTTCTTTCTTTGTGTTTTGTTTTCCCGGTCAAATCTCTCTTCTTGCTTCAGTGAGACAGATGAAAGTGCTTAAAAGAAACAATCCAGCCGGGCACGTGGAAGGCCGAGGTGGGAAGATTGCTTGAGGCCAGGAGTTCTAGACTACCCTGTGCAACATAGTGCGATCCTATCTCCACAAAAAATTTAAAAAATTAGCCAGGCATGGTGGCATGTGCCTATAGTTCTAGCTGCTTAGGAGGCTGAGACAAGAGTATCGCTTGAGCCCCATAGTTTGAGGCTGCAGTGACCTATGTTGTTGCCACTGCGCTTCAGCCTGGTAGAATGAGCAAGACTCTGTCTCTCTCTCTCTCTAAAAAAAGGGAGAGAGAGAGAGAGAGAGAGAGAGAGAGAGAGATAACCCCCAGTGACAGACTACATTTCCCAGCCTCCCTTGTACAGAGTTGCATCTATGACACCAAGTTTGGGTCAGTGGGATTTGAGCATTTGTGATGTTTGTAATTTCTGAGTCAGGTACTTAATGCCATTCACATTAGATTATCTATGTCCCCCTTCCATCCATCTGATAAAGGCCTTAACTGCAACAGCATCCTATAGCCCAAAGTTGTAAACCATATGCTGAGGGTTGTAGAGCTGCCCTACCAGCTTCAATCCATAGACCCCCGTTTCTTTCTTCGTGAGTTCTTGCCAGGTCTCCTCACAACTCCATCCTTGGCTCTCTGCTCAGCAACCTTGACAGCCATCTGCATTTTTGGCACCAACTATATTTTTCACTCAGTGACTCCTTTTGTCCCACACTGGAGTTTTCTGATGAGCTCTGGAGCTGTACTTCTAACTCTATATTAGGCCACTCCACCTGGTGTCACCCCACTTCTACTGCAACACATTCACAAGTTAAATTTTCATCATTCTCCTAAATATACGCTTCTGTCAATTTGCCCCAACTAGAGAAGTGATAATCTCCCAGCCCTCATCTAAAAAGACATTCATAGTCTCTTTCTGCTCCTATCTTACCTACTCTAGGCACTACAAGTACTGCATCCAGAATACTCCTACAATCTGTATTTCTACTCTCTATCCCTGTTTAGGCCTTTGTCACATTTGTATAGATCATTGTTGCAACATCCCAAAGGTCCCCTGACTGTGGAACTGACATTCCTTCCTGGAAATCAAGTACACCACTGCCAGAGTGACCGTCTAAAACTCAAGCCTGAATGGAGTTGGTGCTATTTAAAATTCTTTAACACAGTCAATACTGTTTGGTTCCCCTTAGCCCACCTGCCATTGTGATCAACTCCCCAGCAGCCTACCTCATCCTTGCCTCCTTAAAACTTCAGTTCTTCTAAGATCTCCACAAATGTGTTGTTTCCTGTTCTTAGGCGTTTACACATTCTGTGTTCTCTCTTTTTTTTTTTTAATCTGGCTCACTCTTACCTCTGCAAAATCATAGGTAAATGATCCAATGTTTTATGAATTGGCTGACTTAGTGCCTTTTATCATCTAGTTATTATGAATGACCAAATAAATATTCTTTGATGCTTTGTGTGGAAATTGGTAAGTTACCTGAGTATGTTCATTTGCTTGTGTACACGAGCATAATATATTTACTGAGAAACCACTATGTGCAAGGCACTATGATAGGCTCAGAGGAAATAAAAACTGAAGAGATGTGGTCCTTCCTTCAGGCATCTCAGAATCTTATGGAGAGAGTCATAGAAATCAATATTTATGTTAGAAGGGCATAAATCAATATTTATGTTAGAAGGGCATGAGCACTGGGAATTGGAGCACCCAACCTTTTCCAATTGGAGCACCCAATTCCCATTGCCAATGTGTGGGGGAATAACAAAGCGGTTTCCAATGGGAAGTATGGAGCATTTGTAGGAGATCTGAGGAATAGGGCAGAGTTTGAAAGGGACTAAGTGTTGTTGAGAGGGATTTATAATTAGGTCCCTGTTGTCAGGCAGCAAAGGGAAAAAGTTTGGGTGGAAAAAAATACATGCTCTTACATATGCGCACTCTTACACAC